TCGGTGCCTTGCTCAAGGGCACCTCAGTCATGGTATTGAAGGTGGGAGAGAGCGCTGTACATTCACTCCCCCCACCTAGCACATTACTAATCATAAAACTTGACTTTTGTTATTTATTTTGTAATTGTAATGCACAAATGAAGCAAGGGTTGTAACACCAGTGACAACAACACTATTACACTATTGATCAGACTAAAATCAATATATTATACACCAATGGCATGTAAATAAACCAAGTGTTTATTAAATAAGCCATGCCAAGTGTGCCAAGGTTTATTAAATACCTCAAATCTGTTAAATATCACTGTAGTTTATTATTATTATTATTATTATTAAAGTCATGTATTCATCGCCATATTTTAAGAATGACCCAAACATTGCAACCAGTGGCACTACAGCAGTTTTAAATCTGCGCGCACGCAATGCGTGCGTCACTACCACAGCAACATCTGACGTGCGTCCACCTAAAGATTACAGCATCCTCTAACACCCAATCGTTACAATAAACGACTACAGACGCCAATGAAATGCTAAGCAATTAAAATATACAAAAATAATTACATATAAAACGCGTGGTGGAAAATCAACGTAGTTAAAATAGTCGCTCGACCATTAAAAGGGAAACAATAATGGCAATACATCATCGTGTCAGTCATATTTCATAGAAGACTGCTGTTCTTACCCATGCCAGGACTCTTAGGATTGTCTGTGGTTGTTTGATGAACGCAATCAGATCAAAGGCCGAACCGGCTCGGCCCGCTCCAAACGAGCCCGCTCCATCCATCCTCCCAGAGGCGCTGCTGACTGCTGCTGCTGCTGCTGTGCGATACTCTGCGAAGAGGAGAGGAGAGGAGAGCTGAGCGCGTGCACGAGCGCCTGCCCTGTCTTGCACACCCAGAGTCGAGCGCGCGCCTTTGATTCATCTCAGTGACTCGAATCTTTTGAATCAGTTGAGTTGACAAAAGCAGGTTCATTGACTCGGTCAGTGTTCCAGTGTTGCCAAGTCCGCGGTTTTCCCGCGGAATTGGGCTACATTAAAGGGATAGTTCACCCAAAAATGAAAATTTTATGTTTATCTGCTTACCCCCAGGGCATCCAAGATGTAGGTGACTTTGTTTCTTCAGTAGAACACAAACAAAGATTTTGAACTCAAACCGTTGCAGTCTATCAGTCGTATAATGCATGGCAATGGTAACAAAATCTATGAGAGTAAAAAAAAACATGCACAGACAAATCCAAATTAAACCCTGCTGCTCGTGACGACACGCTGATGTCCTAAGACACGAAACGATCGGTTTGTGCCAGAAACCGAACAGTATTTATATCATTTTTTACCTCTAATACACGACTATGTCCAACTGTCTTTGGGCGCGCGCACGGCATCCGGTGCGTGAGGTGTGTACGCGCTCTGGCGTAGTTTACGTTAATGGGTGTGTTGATATCCAGCCGAAGAGCAATCAACCATAACTTCAGGCGAGCAGGCTCAGAAGTTGGGAATACGTGGAAAGTCACCACTCCCGAATGAGTTCACACGAGAGAACGTAATCTTTTAGTTTTAAGTCGGTTTGAACAATCTGGATAAGTGCAAGTAAGTACCATTTTGATTAGCCGTCGTACCAATGTTTGTGCACTGTATAAACAATGAGTGACGTATATTTGAAACGAAACACGAAACACGTTTGGTCTAATTTTGGGCTAGTTTTCAGTAGAAATTGAGTATTGGGTTTTGTTGTGAAAAACCTGGCAACCCTGCAGTGAGTGTCCGTTTCCTACGCCAGTAGATGGCAACAAGAAGTCAGAGTTTAATAACCGCATTTATCAAGTAACAAATATGGCTCTCAAACTTTCTTTTTAACTCAACAGTCAACGAAGTGGGATTCGATGTTAACACTAGCCTATTTCTGTTAATGGGATGGTCGCCTGTAATCGTAGTGACAGCGTCACAGCGAAAGTGGATAAAAGATGGCGATTTCCGTAACACCGGGAAGTCGACTTGACGTTTTACAAACCAGTCCGACTTAAATTTTAATTAATGAAAAGCGGGTACTAAAAGTAAAAAGGCCGTTTCCCAACAGTTAATAGTCTCTAAATCAGATCACTTTATCTTCCATTTTTTCACCTGCGGGGTATGACTTTTATCCAGCAGCTATAGAAAATGATACCAATACTGTAATAGCCTAAATAAATTATGAATTTCAATAACGTCCTTATGTCATTTTAAAAATGATGATGAATGAAAAAATAGATTTTAATGCTTGAATAGGCTTCAGCATCCCCACGAACCTACAGGTCACACGAGAATAGTTTAGAGAGTAGATGGACGCATGGATGTTAATGTATAATAATTTTATATATATATATATATAAATTGTCTATAAAAACTGTTTGCTTATGATTGACTTGAATATAATTTCAAATGACTAATAAGAAATTCTGGGGCCAGTTGCATAAAAGGTTTAGACTAGTCTTACAAGTTAGTCATCTAATTTTTTTTTTCTTTAAGACTGGTCATTTGTTTTAAATTTGGTTACATAAACACGTAGATTAGTTAGATTAGAATACAAAACATAAGACTGATTAGCCTAACGCTTAGCTAACTGTTAGTTGGTCAGACTAGTTCTAAAGCCACTGTCTTAAAACAGAGATTAAGTTTATGCAACTGGCCCCAGGTTTGGTGTTTGCAGTTGAGATGTTTGTAGCCTGAGCAAGCAACTCTACATTCTTTGATTAATTCAAATTAGTGCCGGCCATACCTAATAAGCGATATATGCGGCTGCATAGGGCCCCCGTGGCCACCAGGGGGCCCCGTGTCAGGAGTTCAGACTGCAATCACGGGAGTATACTACAATCTTAAATATGAGAGTAACAAATGATTGTGGTTTGTGACTCACATTATTCCTTTCTGCGCATATACCGTAATACTCCATATGGTGGTAGTATAACATTCTGAAAAACATTTTCATTTTACAGCTGAGTGATTACTTATAGGTATGGTGCCCTCAATTTTTTTCAAACCACTAAATGACTTCTAAATGTATGAATTGTTTTACATTGCATTCATTGGATTCCTTAGAACCAACTTTCATTTTCTGAGCCATTTTTGTATTGTAGATCTTTTTGCATTGACTTTTAACTAACTGGTGTCATGCATGATTTTTAATGAATGTATGAAGTCAGTTCAGTCACGGTAAAAATTAATGTAGACTGCACTAGCATATATTTAATAATCTCTCAGGATGTTAGTATTAACTTACATTGATTTGATGTGCTCCCTATACAGTTCAGTATGTATGATGCTAGGCATGCAAGTCATAATGATACTTCTTGACATAGTTATGAAGTTGCAATTTTAGGTTTTTTTAATGACCATGGAGTTAACACAATTCTTGCATTAACATTAACACACTCTCTCTCTCTCTCTCTCTCTCTCTCTCTCTCTCTCTCTCTCTCTCTCTCTCTCTGTCTCTCTCTCTCTCTCTGTCTGTCTGTCTCATAGGTGTCAGTGGGTCACCAAAGGAACGGTTTGGTCTTCATTGTACATACACACTCATAAATACCCATATCCTTATTTAAGACAATTATCATTATTCACCTTTGCACTTACTCCAATTGGGGACGAAGCCACTACATTTTTAATTACTGAAATTAGAGTGTCAGTGAGGACTCCAGTTTTTAAGTAGTTCTTAGATGCCAGGTAACACCAGTTCTTGGCACTGACCTGGTCACTTCTATGGTTACAACCTTACGTCAATATTTGTAATTACTCCTGTGCGAGTGCTCCAGTGACACTTTGATTGTTAGTGATCATGTATGAAATATTCAGCTACTGCTAATTAGTAACCTATAAATCAACGAGTCATTACTTTTCAATGCACAACAAGCTGTATATAAAACTGAAAGTAAATTAACTTCAAATGAGGAATAATTATTGCAATTTTGACCATGTATGAGGATCTGGTCAATTATTCTGTGGGTCAAAAGTAAATCTTAGGCATCTATATATATATACATACATACAATGAATTTACCTTCAATAATGGTTAAGTGCGCAAAGACTTTGACTTGTAAACAGAATAAACTGTGTGTGTGTGTGTGTGTGTGTGTGTGGTATTTGAACAGTTTATTAAGTCAAAGTCATTGTGCACTTAACCATTATTAAAGGTAAATTTAGATTCAAATTTAGATTACAAATGTAACCAAATTTTGTTAAGTTTGTGCTATTTTCTTCAAATATTGAGGAAGTGTAGCTCATCACACATCAGTACGCACTTGCATTCTCCACCATAGATTTGTGTGTGTGTGTGTGTGTTGTGTGTGTGTGCAAGCTTGTGTAGTAACAGGCCTCTGTGCTTACATTATTTATGCTAGAATGAGACCCAAGCTTAAGTTACACCAAGGCAAGTAGAGCTGACAAATTAAGGTTCCTTCTACAGCGCTGCAACAGAACTAAAAACCTGACACACATCCTCTCACTTACACAGACACACAGCCCTTGTCTGAGTCATGGATGGCATATCATAGTTGATGACTGCATGTGTTGGAATTATCTGTTGGTTCTTTTGCTGAGAAGTACAGGTAGGTTTGATTCTCTATCTTGATGATCAACAGAAGAAGAAAAGAGGAATGTGTGGGTGAGTGTAAGGTTATAGAAACACACAGAGGCACCTCAACAAAGGATCTCTATCTAAGAACATCTGCAAGAGGGATCCTTCTTCTAGACCACATCTGGTGTGGCCTGTGGAACCATGTGAACAGAGATTTATATGCTCTCTGTGTAGAATTCATCTATGACAGTACTGAGAAGAGACTCACCTACAGGTAAGACTATTTTTTCTTTACCATTATTAAGTATGCAGAATTTTGGGGGGAAAAATGTAAAAGTGTTTATTAAGATCTAGAATATTTAATGTTGGTTTTGTAAAAAAAGTTGTAGTAACTTATAACAGTATAATGTAATTTTTAAAAAGCAATTC